TTGCCAATTAAAAAGCTGAATCCAAAACATTCCTAAAAAATAGTCAACTTGCTGCAAAAATAATTTGTGCCTTTTACCCTTAGCCACAGCACATCCATCCTTCACTCCAAGTCATAAATGTCAAGCATTGTGGAAGGTTTTTATTTTTTGGATGCTCGTACAAATGCCTTGCCACAGGACTACTTGGGTGAGTTCTGATGCCAGCTGCAGCTCATGAAGTGGCACGGGTGGGCGTGCGGCATGGAATCTAGCTACGCACAAAGCATTCACTGGGTAAGTCCGTTTCTGAAAACCATCCGTGGTGGGATCATAGAATCCCCAAAGACCACCTAGGCCGCTGCTTCCTAAATATGGTTGCATATCAGAAGCATATGGAGAACTTAAAAAAATTCCTGGGCCCCAACCAACACGTAAAAATTTAGAATCTCTGAAGGTAAGACCCAGGGAGACTGTAATTTTTTTTTAAGCTTCCAAGGCAATTCTGATGCATAGCTAAATCTAGTTCAGTCCTTATCTGGTACTCCTCTCTACAGGATTTTGCCAAGTGGTTGTCTACCCCTGCTTGTACTCCTCCAGTGATGGGAGGCTCACTGCCTTTCAAGGCAGTCCCTCCCATCCATGCTTAGCCACCTCTGCTTTAGGAAGTTCTTCCTCTGCCTCCTGTTAACTTCCCCTCACTGGTCTGGCTCTGCCTTCTGGGACCCCGCAGACCATGTCTGCTTTTACCCTTTGGAGGGCGCAACCTTGTGCATAGAGTTCTAAGGGGTGGACACCCCCAGTTCCTTCAGCTTCTCCTCACAGGACACAGCCTCCAACCTCTCCCCACGCGGGCCACGTCCTGTCTGCCGCTGGCCTCTCACACCGGCCACAGCTTTCCAGTGTGGTCTGACCACACGAAGACTGAAACTTGCTTTGTCCTGGACTCACTGCCTCTACAGATGAGGCCTGTTAATGACTGACCAAACAGTTGTTATGTCAATCAACCACGGAGTGCCTTGCCAAGTGCCCAGGGATGCTAGGTGGGCCATGTGCTGCAGGGGAGGCAGAAGGGGCTTTGCCGGGAGCTACAGAGTTGCTGGGGAAACCAGAGGAAAACATGAGCCTAGATGTGGAAGGATGCAAGACATGGTGCTGTTAGTGAAGAACTAAATTCTGCAGCAAGGGCTGTGAACATCCTGAGGATGACGTGGTAACAAAAGATTCCGTAGAGAGGTAGCTTGAGGAAAGAGTTATGTGAATCAGTCAGGTTCAAGCAGGAGAATATGAACCCTAGCTATGGGGAGAGGTAGGGGTTTAATACAGATACTCGGGCTGACAGAATTGCTGGAAGGCTGGAGGGAGAAGCAGGGAGACCTAGACCCTCAGACTTGACTCCCAGATCAAGATGGACGTGCCCAGCACCCTCGTTCCTATCTGAGGCCACCTTTGGGGCTATTTAGCTCAAGACACACCTCCACAGCCATGATTCAAAGAACAGGTACCCGGAGTTAAGGAGCTGCAGCCACAGCCACCATCCCACACCCAGGAAGCTGGGGAAGGGACAAGGAACCCTGATGCAGAAAACCGCACATTTCTGCCATCATCATTCTAGTGATGCCCCAAAGGGGCAGGACTATACCCTTTGCCTCCCACATCTGGCAGGGGTACTGCTAATCGGCAGCACCTAGTTGACGTCCAGAACTCTAGCCACAAACAAGGCTGCAAAACTTAGCTCTTAGCTTCCTGGCCTCTCCAACCAGGAGGGTGCAGTGGAGGTGCAGGGAGTGAGAGATGCCTGTTCAGGATGGCTGTCCCAGCATCCTTCATGGCAACAGCGGGATGGAGACAATCAAAATGTCCATCAACAGTCTACCCTACCGTGGAATTCTGTGCCACCTTGGAAAGGAGGATGTTGTCTTCTGGTTAATTAGTGACATGAGAAAAGTTTCATAATAAGTCACTAAGAAAAAAAAAAAAGGCAGCAAAATAGAGGTCACCATACGATTTCATTTTTATTAAAAGAATTTTTGAAAAATGCAGAGGAAAAAAATACTAGTAAGATGAATGGCAACTTTTATGTAAAAGGACTGAAGGTAATTTTTTTCTTCTTTCATCCTTTTCTGTGTTTTCCAAGCTTTCTACATTGTGCATATATTCTTTTTGTTCTTAAGACAAAAAAAATGCTGTTTTTAAATGCACAAATATAAAATCTTCTTAAAGGAACTGGGAAAAAGAGCAGTGAGGGTGGAAGACAGTCACAAATTAGCGAACCAAAGGAGAAAAAAAATGAGAGAGGAGGAGGCACAAAGGAGATTAAGGAGATGCTCAGGATGGCTGCCTATCAAGGCGCACCGTGTAGAAGGGAGAAATGCAAAATATAACCGGGGTCCAGTCTCCGACTGCCGTGTGACCCGGGGAAGGCCTCCCCATCCTGGGTCTCTGTTTCCGCTCGCAAACGAGCGCCTTAGGACCCCAGCTCTGAGAGTCGACGCGACGGAGCGAGCGCTTGCGTGGTGTGGGACCCCCCCGCAAGCCCCGACCCGCCCGTGCCTGGAGGGAGGAGCGGCCTTGACCCGGGCGCAGACCGGCGGCGCCTCATTGGCGGCTGAGCCTCGTTGGACCGCGCGGAGGCGGGGCCGGCGCGAGCGCCGTCGGAGGCTGGACCAGACCCGGGAGAGCCTGCCCCTGCCCCGGAGCGCCGGCCCCGCCTCCGCAGGTAACCAGCGCCCTTCCCCCCGCGGGCCCCGGGCGGGCCGCGGCTCCCGTCCCCGCGATGGAGGCTTCCTCTCTGGGCCTCGCCTGCCCCCTCTGGGGGCCGGCCTCTCCACGCTCCCCACCCCTGCCCCCGCCCCCGGGTCCCAGGGAGGCGCCTGATGGTCCCCGAGGACGCGGGGCCGTCCTCCCAACCTTCCCCCGCTAGCTCGACCTCATCGCTCCCGCCCACCCGGCCCACTCCAGCAGGGGCCCCTGACCATAGCCGAGAGGCCGGGACACGCGCCCCCTCTCCGCAGAAAAGGTGACATGGGCGCCACCCGGTCCTCGATGACGCAGAAGGTCCGGTTCTTAGCGGAGTGGGCGCTAAATACAGGGCACCGTAAGAAATCGCCCATAGTCAGCAGGAAACACAAAGCTAAGGCTGTGGGAATCCGGGCTGAGGCTCCTATTCTTACTTGCTGTGTGTCCTCGGTGAGTCTCTGAACCTCTCTGATCCCCAGTCTTCTTCCAGAATGGGAGTCATCCTTGCCCGGATCACCCCCAGGGCTGCTGGGACGCCCAGTGAGTTAACTGCTGAGAAGATGGCCTGCAACCCCTAAAGCGTGGTGGCTGTGAGCAGTGATCTTCCTACGTGCAAGTGGAGGTGCCAGTGCAGACCTCATAGAGTAGGAACAGCCTTGGCTTGGCATGAAAGATTTACCAGCCTTGGTCTGTGACCACCCCCCTGGCTGTTTAACCCCTGCACACCCACACCGTGGATTGGTGGCCCCTCCTTACCCGCACCTCCCCTTGGACTTCTCCCTCCTCAGGCCTGTCTGGACCCAAGGCTGCTTCTGTCCCAGCATAGAGCAAAGCCCTGAGCCTAGTGGAGCCTGAGTGCACCCCTGACAGGTCTGCTGGCTCAACCTTCCCTCCAGGGAGGGCTTTCCTGCAGCATTGGTTTGTGCTGGGCTGGGGCCTTGCTTCCCAGATGAGTTCTTTGCTGCTCTCTGCCCAGTGGCAGAGGGCAGGGTGCTGGGGGTGGGGGTAGGAGGGGAGCTGCAATCCTTTTTGCTGCTGGGTGGGGCAAGTGAGGCAGCAAAGGTGCAGGGATTCATGTCCTGGCTGGAGAGTAACTGCTTCAGCGCATCTGGGAACCTTATATACCATTTAAATCTCACTGAATAAATTTATATACTGTTTACATTTTATAGTTGTTTTAATAAAGAGTTGCAGACAAGATGAAACGGGCCCTTCTTTCCCGCTGCTGTTGGACTTGCTGCACTTCTGGGAAGCCGAGGCCTGTGCCCGGGGTCTGGCCGCGCTGGTTTCTGAGGGCGCTGCCAGCTCTGATGTCCTGGGTGGAGGGGCCGGGCTTGCTGTATGCACGACCCCATTCAACATAGCCCCAGGAGGCGTTTCATGTGAGGAAACTGAGGCACAGAGGTGGAGTGAGGCACGCCCTCTCTGCGAACAACTCTGAGTCTCTGGTTTCTATTCCATTCTTAGGTCAATTAAACAGGCTTTGTGGGAATTTTGATGTTTCCTCAGTATATCATTTAATAACTGTTGAGGGGCCAGCCTGGTCATGCAGCGGTTAAGTGTGCGTGCTCCACTTCGGCGGCCCGAGGGTTCGGAGGTTCAGATCCTGGGTGCGCACTGATGCACCGCTTGGCAAGCCATGTTGTGGTGGCATCCTGTATAAAGTAGAGGAAGATGGGCACGGATGTTAGCCCAGGGCAGGTCTTCCTCAGCCAAAAAGAGGAGGATTGGCATATGATGTTAGCTCAGGGCTGATCTTCCGCACAAAAAAAAATAAAATAACTGTTGAGCGGCTGCTCTGTGGCAGGCATAATTCCAGGCCTCAGGGACATAGCAATGAATGAAACAGGAAAAAAAAAAAAATCCCTGCCCTCATGGAGCTGGCATTTTATTGGGCAGAGGCAGACAATAAACATGCGAGTGTGTAAAGATACTATTTGGTATGTCAGATGGGGGAAAATAAACCATGGTCCGGGTGATGGAGAGTGCTGGGGGTGAGGAAAGTTGCAATCATTAAGGATGGTTAGGGAAGGCCTTGCTGAGAAGGTGATATCTGAGCAAAGACCCAGAAGAGGTGAGGGAGTGAGCCGGAGGACAGATGGGACATGACCGAGTTGGACCAGAGAGTTCTTCAGGACCTTTGTACCCCTTGCAGTCCATGTTTTAGAGGGAACAACCCTTTATGCTAGAATCCTGGGACATCTGAGCTGTTGGGCTTTTGGGGAGCCCGTTGCCCCTCTCACCTGTGCCCCGTGTTCCTCCTGTCCCTCTCCAGAGTAGCCAGCATGCTGCGCTTCCTGGTGCCCCGGCTGCTTTGCCTCCGCGGCACAGCCTCCCCACACTCCTCTGCAACAGCCCTCCCAAGCCCCAGCCTGAGCCCAGACATCTGCTACAGCCAGCTGTTCATCAACAATGAGTGGCTAGATGCAGTCAGCAAGAAGACCTTCCCAACAGTCAACCCCACCACAGGAGAGGTCACTGGCCGTGTAGCTGAGGGGGACCGGGCTGACGTGGATCGGGCTGCTCTCACAGAGAGGCCTTCTGCCTGGGGTCTTCATGGCGCCGGATGGATGCCTCGGAGCGGGGCTGGCTGCTGAACCGCCTAGCTGACCTAGTGGAGCAGGATCGTGTCTACTTGGCCTCGCTGGAGACCTTGGACAATGGAAAGTCTTTCCAAGAATCTTATGTCTTGGACCTGGATGAGGTCATCAAGGTGTACCGGTACTTTGCTGGCTGGGCTGACAAGTGGCACGGCAAGACCATCTCCATGGATGGTGAGCACTTCTGCTTCACCCGGCACGAGCCTGTTGCCGTCTGTGGCCAGATAATCCCATGGAACTTCCCCTTGGTCATGCAGAGCTGGAAGCTGGCCCCAGCACTTGCCACAGGCAACGCTGTGGTCATGAAGGTTGCGGAGCAGACACCCCTTTCTGCCCTGTATTTGGCCTCTCTCATCAAAGACGCGGGCTTTTCCCCTGGGGTGGTGAACATCATCACTGGCTATGGCCCAACAGCAGGAGCGGCCATTGCCCAGCACACGGATATCGACAAAGTTGCCTTCACCGACTCCACCAAGGTGGGCCACCTGATCCAGAAGGCGGCCAGCGATTCCAACCTCAAAAGAGTCACCCTGGAGCTGGGTGGGAAGAGCCCCAGCATCGTGTTGGCCGATGCCAATGTGGACCACGCTATGGAACAATGCCATGGAGCCCTCTTCTTCAACATGGGCCAGTGCTGCTGTGCAGGTTCCCAGACCTTCGTTGAAGAATCCGTCTATGATGAGTTTGTTGAGAGAACCGTGGAGAAAGCTAAGCAGAGGAGAGTTGGGAACCCCTTTGAACTGGACACCGAGCAGGAGCCCCAGGTGGACAAGGAGCAGTTTGAACGAATCCTGGGGTACATCCAGATTGGCCAGAAGGAGGGGGCAAAACTTCTCTGTGGTGGGGAGCGTTTCGCGGAGCGTGGTTTCTCCATCAAGCCCACAGTCTTTGGTGGTGTGCAGGAGGACATGAGGATCGCCAAGGAGGAGATCTTCGGGCCTGTGCAGCCCTGTTCAAGTTCAAGAAGATTGAGGAGGTGATTGAGAGAGCCAACAACACCAGGTATGGCTTGGCTGCCGCTGTGTTCACCCAGGACCTGGACAAGGCCACGTACTTCACACAGGCACTCCAAGCTGGGACGGTGTGGGTAAACACCTACAATGTGGTCACCTGCCACACGCCGTTCAGAGGGTTTAAGGAATCTGGCAATGGGAGGGAGCTGGGGGAGGATGGGCTTAAGGCCTACACGGAGGTGAAGACAGTCACCCTCAAGGTCCCTCAGAAGAACTCATAAGAACAGCCACCATGGAGACCCAACTCCAGTCCAATGATTCCATAACCAGTGGTTGCCAAACATTTTTTTAGCCATGGACCTGGACCCCCTTTATTTGTTCCAAATGAACTCTTAGAGGGAACCTCATCAAATAAAGCAATTAAAATGAGAGTTACAGCAGGATGGGGGCTGGACTCAGGGTCCTGTCCACCTACGCCCAGCCCCAGCCCCCTTGGTGGCCCTGAGTAATTTTCATGAAACCTTAGGAGTCCCTGGAAGGTAGATTAAAAACCACTGATTTGGACAATGACTTTTAGTTCTTCCTGCTGATCCAAGGACTTCCTGATGGATTAATGGATGTCTTGGTGGATGGACTCACCTTGGACCATGGGATTGGAAGGCATTGGGAGTTTCAAACTAGGCCCCATAATCTTGGCCCCATTCTTATTGACTTACCCTAAAAATCAAGGGTGCTTTTCCTTTTCTAAGTGCCAGTTGCTGGGTGGTTTCCTTGCTTGCCCTTCATTTTGCTACTGATTTTCTTAATTTGAGGGAAGGGGTGGGCAAAGAATGCATTTATATAACCATTCCTTTAAAATAAGTTCAGACAGCCAACATGTCCATCAACTCATGAGTGGATAAACAAAATGTTTCCATGGAATATTTCTTGTACTGTTCAGCCATAAAAAGGATTGAAGTACTGACACGTGCTACAACATGGGTGAACCTTGAAACCATTATGCTAAGTGAAGGAAGCCAGACATACAAGACCACATATTGTATGATTCCGTTTATATGAATATACAGAATAGGCAAATCCGTAGAGACAGAAAGTAGATTAGTAGTTGACAGGGGCTGGGGGAGGAGGGAATGGGGAGTAACTGCTAATGGGTATGGGATTTCTTTTTGGGAGGTTTTGAAGTGTTCTGGAATTAGATAGTGGTGATGGTTGCACAACTTTGCGAATGTACTAAAAAGCACTGAATTGCACACTTTCAAAAGGTGGATTTTATGATATGTTATATGATATGAATTAAATTCCATTAAAAAATAATATAACCTCACATTCTGTTTGCCAATCAGTTCTGTGTCAATATTCTCTTGCTGCTGAACATTTTACAGAGTCTTGGGGGTGGAAGGGACCATGATAGTCATCTAGTCAACCCTCAGCCAGGTGCACAAGTCCCCTCCACAATATCTCTAGCTTTGTTTTTGTTTTCGTTTGGCTGGGTGACAAAGTGCAGCTTTAAGACCCACAGAGAAGAGCTCTGATTGCTGCCTAGGCAATTTTAGATCTCATTTTAGATCTCATTTCAAGGCTTCCACTGGCATTGACTCCCCAGCCCTACCGAACACACCACCCCTCAAGCCAAGTGCCGCATGAGGGCCGTGCTGACGTGCCAGGGTGTCCAGAGTTTCCCACCTCAGAGCTCAGTGTGTTTACTGTTACCCTTACGACCTCATTGCCCACCTGACGGGAGTAAATCCGAGCTAGTCAGGCCCTGACACAGAAGCAGAGTGCTGATCCTCTCGCCTTGTCCATCTTTCTGGACCACGTTCCTCAGGAATCACCCTACTTTTAGGTCCACTCAGTCTTGAGAATGCACAACCCCAGGCATCTCTTTAACATCCTATTATCTCACCTGGCATCGGGATGATGTTGTTCAGTATCTTACCTTGGAGTTGGCCTGAAGCTGCTTCCTGGGGATTCCGGGTCTGCGTGGTCCCCTCATCTCCCCTTCCTGGGACCTCCTTTCTATGCCATTTTTCTAAGGCTGGAGTGACCCTGACCGTCTCTGAAATGCACCTTTTATCTATTTCTCTTGGAGGCTGTGGGCACTCTGCACAGTAGTGAAAGTTTCTCACGAAATAGGAAATGGGAGGGAGTGGGGGGGGAGTCTCTAATGACTAACGCCATCCCAATATTTGAACAGATCCATTCCTCATTTGCTGCCCAATACTTGTAAACCGAAGAGGAACTTGGTAGAGGGTATCCTGGTATGAGGTGGGGCTGGGAAAGGACAACCTTCTAGGTCCCTTATTTTGACCCCTGAAATTCTGAGACTGAGGAGTCAGGTCAGCCCCCAGCCCCTCTGTGCTCACTGTTGTAACTCTGAACGTGGGAGGTGTGAACATGGAGGTTGAACTGGGCATCACTCAGGGCAGACACCGCCCGCGGGATTTCACCTGGTCGTAGATGTTGCAGTTCTGGGCCAGCGCTTACTCCACAAACGTAACAAGCATCTACTCTCTCAAGCACTATCTGTGCCAGTCGCCTTTCCAGCCACTGAAGCCTCACAGCAATCCTCTCAAGTCGGCGGCGGGGTCACCCTTCTCTCAGCTGAGGAAGCGGAAGCTGGGAAGCTTAGCGCGCGGTTTACCGCGCGTACCCCCCGGGCTAGAACGGGGCACACTGAGAGAGCATCGAATCAAACCCCGACGCCTGAAGAGCCCGCGGCTGTGCCGAATGCGCCCAGACTCCGGCGTCTTTGCTGTGTCCCCAGGGCTGCTGCTCCTCAGCCTGCCTCTTGCCATCCATCCTGGGTCCTAGGCTGCTTCAGGACTCGCACGTGGGCTGGCTCTATCCTGGGTGTGAGGCTGACCTCTGGTGGCCACCTTGTTCATTAATTTGCTCAGAACATTCGTTGGTTGAAAAAAAGTTAAGGTGCTGGCTCTAGGTAGGCCGTGGGGAAAGAGAACTGAATAGACAGTCCCTGCCCTGCAGGAGCTCGCGGCCTGGCAGGGAGACAAATGCAGAACAAGGTGAAAAATGCTGTGATAAGTAGAAGTACGGAGGCCATGAGCTCGCGGGAAGAAATACTATTAAGCACCTACAATATTTTTGAGGCACCTACAATAATATTTATTATCTCATTTAATGCTTCTAATTACCCTCAAGGCACTTATTATCATTCCACACTTGACAAATAAACATGGAGGCCTGGAGATGTTCATCTAGTAAGTGGAGCCAGAGCTGACACTCCGTTCTCCTGACTCTCTCTACTGCCCTGGCTTGGCCCAGGGAGGCCCATGGAAGGGGCCCAGGATCCTGCTGCATGAGGAGGTAACCAGGCAGACAGATGCAGCAAGGGTGTTCCAGGGAGAGGGAAGGGCATGGAGTGTGTGAGAAAACATGGAGGCTGTGAGGAACGGTGTGACGAAGGGAGAGGCCTGGGAGGAGGGAGGGCTGGACTGTAAAGGGGCTGTGCGCCCTGCAAGGAAGTCCAGCAGTAGGAAGCCAGGAGGAAAGGGATAGGACCATGTTTTGGTTTCTAAAGCTGGCTCTGCTGCAGTGGGAGGATGGGTTGAGGGCTCGACCTGGAGTCGGAGGCCACTCAGGACACTGCTGTCTGTGCCAGTGATGCTGACCTGGACCAGGTGTGAGGATGGGTGGGAGATCCTGGGAGCCAGGAGGTGGGCTTCCGGGTGTGGTGGCAGATTGCTGCAAGAGGAGAGTGAAAGTTAGGGTGACCCCTTTTTCCTGGCTGGGGTAACCAAATGGGTGTGGTGCCAGCACTGTGAAATGCTGGAGAAGCAGGTCTGGGACAAGGTGGTGAGTTTATTTATTCAACACATTTTATTGAGTGCTGACTATGTGCTGGGAACTATTCTAGGTGCTGGGGATACAGCAGGGAACTGAACAGAAGTCCTGCACATCCTCCCTGATGGGGGAGGAGACCATAAGCAAAATCAGCAAAACATTTAGTCCATCATATGGTTAAGGTTGTTATGGAGAAAGATCCTGCTGAGAAGGGGAATAGGGAATGTGTGTGTGGGGGTAGTTGTAATTTTCAATAAGGTGCTCAGAGATGGTCTCACTGAAGAGATGACAAAGGACTAAAAGATGTATGGAAATGGCAGGTGCAAAGGCCCTGAGGCTGGAGCATGTCTGGTGGGTTCCCAGAACACAAGGAGGCCAGGGGGCTGGAATGGAGCAAGCAAGAGGGAGATGGGAGACAGAGAAGTAGCGGGGCTAGGATAGGGCAGGTAGAGCTTTGAAGGTCACTGTGCCCTTTGGGCCTTTTCTCTGAACGATGAAGGAGCCACCAGAGGGTTTTGAACAGAGCAGTGAGATGATCTCAGTTATGTTTTAAAAGGATCACTGGTGCTGCTGTGTCGACAACAGATTGTAGGGAAGGCAAGGATAGCTTGATCTTGATCATGCCACATCAAGGGGGCAAGTGGAGAATGAGAATTCAATGAAGGACACTAAGGAGAAGCAGCCCGAGGAGCAGGAGGATGACCTGGGAGAGAGGAGTCGAGACGCCAAGGAAGGCGGGAGTTTCCACAGGGAGGGAGCCACAGGCAGAGTCCAGATCTTCCTAGAGATCAAGGAAGAGGAGGACCGAAGTGTCCCCTGGCTGAAGTCATGGGGGGCCTGGGAGACCTTGGTAAGGGCAGTTTGTGTGAAGGGGTGGGGGCACCACCTGGTCCCCCCAAGCCCCAGTGATCTGTACATTAATCCTTGAGTCGGAAGACCTTGGGAGGAAACAAGATGGCACTTTCTGAGGCCTTTGAGAGCCTCTAGCCTCCTCCTCTCTTAACCAGAGGAGTGGACCAAACAACCAGTCGAAGACCACAGAGCTCCGTGGTGCCGGAGTGTGGCCTGGAGTACAGGTCTCTCAGCTCCCAGCCCGGTGTCTTCCCAAGTGTATCAGCGCAGTGTTAGCCGCCACAACAAATAAACCCTGGCTGTGGGAGTCCGCACAGCACCGGTTTATTCCTCGCCTACGTGGCAGTCTAATGCGGGTGTGGTTCATCAGCACTCGTCTTCCACGCGGACATTCAGGGACGGAGATTCCTTCCATCTTGTGGCTCCACCGTCTACCTTGGTTCTTAACCATTTTTTTGTTATGTATTCCTTTGAGAAGCTAATAAAAGCTAATTGTTTTTACCAGAAAAAAATACACACATGCACATCCACACAAAATTTTGCACATTTTCAAGGGGCTCATAGACCCTATGGATCCACCTATAGAATCCCTAGGCGTCCATGGGCCCAGGTGAAAATGCCCTGCACGGGACCTCGGAGACCTC